AATTGTTTACAATAAAAATGAATAAACAAGAGAAAATATTAAATTATAATTTTGTTATTTTGCCAGATGTTAGGCGTCGTGGAGGAGTTTAACAAGTCAGATCAGGATTATCTCTGAACTAAAGGATATTATTTTGTTGTCTGTTTGTTTGTTTGTTTGTTTGTTTGCTTACTCAGGTTACAATCTGGGCACAACATCCACTTTAAACAGTCTCAGTCTCTTTGTTTGTGACACTTATCTCTAACTAAAATAAAAACTGGTTCATGCATTTGTCAAGTCTAGACTGGACTAGTGCAATGGTTTATTATCTGGGTGTCCAAATACGTCATTAAAAAAAGTCTTCAATTGATCCAAAATGCTGCTGCCAGAGTCTTAACTGGAGTTAGTGGGAGAGATCACGTCTCTCCAGTTTTAGCTTCTCTCCACTGGCTCCCTGTCAAATCTAGAAATTAATTCAAAATATTACTTCAAACCTACAAAGCTCTCAAAAACCTAGCTCCATCTTATATTTGAGATCTTATTGTTCCATATTTTCCTAATAGAGCACTTTGCTCTCAAACTGCAGACTTATTCGTGGTTCAGAGTTTCCAAAAGCAGAATGGGAGGAAGATCTTTCAGGTATCAGGCTCCTCTCTTGTGGAACCAACTTCCAGTTTCTGTCCATGAGGCTGACACATTGTCCAGTTTAAAGACTGGGCTTAAGACTTTCCTTTTTGATAAAGCCTATAATTAGGGTGGACTTGTTATGCTGCGTTAAGCTTAGACTACTAGAGGACAAATTGACCTAATTTCCTTAAATAATTGTTAAAATTAAATAATTATCATTTGAAATTATTTTAATCTTAATATGTGATTCTTGACCTGCCATTATGTGTCTGTTTCTCCTTCCTGTTCCTCTCAAACCCATTCGGTCAAAGCAGATGTTCGCTTGTCCTGAGCCTGGTCCTGTTAAAGGTTTCTTCCTCATGAAGGAGTTTTTCCTTTCCACTGTCACCTTCATGCTTGCTCAAGATGAGAATTCCAAGCAGTCTGCTTTTCAGATAAATAGTGTTAAATTCTTATTTGTTATGAAAGTTTTTGTTAACTTGTTAGTTTTATATATTAATGTTTCTGTTCCGTGCCCTGAGATGACTTCTGTTGTGACTTGGCGCTATATAAATAAACTGAATTGAATTGAATTGAAATGTTTGACCAAAAGCTCTTAACTTTCTTATGTTTCCACTTTTTTCTGTTTTCAGCACAAACACACACATTCTCTCACAAAGACATTTCCAACTCACTAATCAAAGACAGATTGATCCTGGTGAATTTTGTCATATGACTTAAGGTTAAAAATAATTTTAAGTGATGCATATTAGCAGATTTGCTTTAAAATTCATTCCTTAGGCGTTCCCTAGTTAAGAGCAAATGCTGTGTAGCTTATTATAAAGTGTTATCAAATCTTCTTTGGCTCCTGCAGCCACAACATTAACCATGGCTGCCAAAGTACAAGTAGCATAAATTGTGTTTTTTTTTATTTTTTTTTTTTTATCTAATTTGAAAACATGCTTGTAACCATGAATAACATAAATATAAAATATAAATCTTTTCATATAACATCACATGTTATTATCATGAATCTGTCTAGTTGGAACATACTATGCATCAGGTATCGAATGTTTACTTTCTGTCTCTAGTTTTTGTGTCAGTGTGTGAGTTATGTCCTCTTTTGGCTCTAAATGTAAAACTTGTCTAGCAATTTGGAGCTATTTTTAAATAAATCAAGCACTACCTTAGACAGTTTTTTTTTTTTTTTTTTTTTTGGTCTGTGTGGCCCCAGACAGGCCCACTCTCCAGTATTTGGAAAACACTGAAGCAAAGTTTTTGTTGTTGTTGTTGTTGTTTGTTTGTTTGTTTGCTTGTTTTTTTTTTTTTTTCTGAGAAGCTTTAGTGTAACACGGGAGATATCAAACAGTAATTGCCGTCACACACTCATGAGTGAATGAGCTGCTTCATGGTGCTCAATGAACAAGATGGATGCTCCAGCAGCTGATCACTCCTCAACACTTATCTTGATCGGCATCTTTAAGATGCTCATTCATCCCCATTATTGTTAAAATATGACATTCCTCAGTTAAAATTGTGTTCAATAAAAAAAAAATTAAAAAGAAATAAAAAGAACGAGGAAATGCAATCAGGCCACATCTTGGGTTTGAAATTGAATTTAAGGAAATCATCTGCCGTGCTCCACTTTAAGCAGAGTGCATCCCAGCTTCTCCACATCTGGCCAACAGAAAAATAAGAGCAGAAGCTTCTCTTTTAATCTTTAAATGCTAAACAAGCATGAACTCCTGCTGTCGCCTTCATTTGATGTCTAAAAGCATACACTGGTACGCCTAAATATTTCATTCCATGCGCCTGATAACACTGGAAAAACTCAGAGGATAATGAAAAGGTATACACCAGGAGGGGGGAGGACACGGGAGGGAAAGGGAGGTGGTGGATGTGAGTGTGATTAGGTGGGAGGGGGTCTGTCTGTCAGACTTAGCAGTTCTGCACATATATCGGAGTTGTGGTTTGTAGTGGACGTTGTTATAAAGGCCCTGCAAGTCTAAACCCAAGGAGCATCTTTAAGAGTTTGGACTCTTTCTCTCTTTTGCTGCACAAGTGTGATGGTAAAGATAAATTACCCCCCCCCCCCCCCACACACACACACACACACACACCCCTCTTAATGCACTGTGTCACATTAACCCCAATGATTTTTTTTTCAGTGTCTAAATTAATAAGACACACTGGAGCTGTGTGTGTAAGATGTGAGTGACTGTATGCTTGAGCGCCTCAGATGGGTTGTTAAGGTGGCATTAGAGTTAATGCAAATTAAAAGAGGGGGGTGGTATCTTCTTTTGACCCCCCTTCTCTTACTGTTTCCAGCGTTAATGCGGCCATTTGCTTGGAAGTACTCACCCCCTATAATTCAATTTGTCAAAATGAATGAGAGAACAGACAAATTATATAGGCTGCCCTCCCATACACACACACATTATTCCCTCCCCCACCCCCACTCAACCCCAACCACCTTTATACATAATCTCAAAATAAAATACATTAAAAAGTGAAAAGGGCGAACTAAATATTCTCCCCAAACAAAAGCCTGTGTGTCTTTACCCCGGATATGAAAGTGAGCAATTATTGTGAATGGGCCGATATCATATTATTATGTTGGGGGGTGGGGGGGTAGGGGGCTTTCCCGGTCCCCTCGGTTCCCCAGATAGTCATCAATCACTCTCAATCGACCTGTCACCGGCAGGCAGAGATCCAGCTGGAGAGTGGAGCAGCAGGAGGAGGAGTACATCATCATTAATTTGAGGAGTGACCCCTGGGGCTATCCACATGTCTCAACCCGGGATTCTCCAAGCAAGCATGGACTGAAGGAAGGAAGGAAGGAAGGAAGGAAGGAAGGAAGGAAGGAAGGAAGGAAGGAAGGAAGGAAGGGAGGGAGGGAGGAAGGAAGGAAGGAAGGAAGGAAGGAAGGAAGGAAGGAAGGAAGGAAGGAAGGAAGGAAGGAA